GGGCTCAGCATTTGAGCCGTCAGACGCGTGGCAGGTGAACACGCTCTCCGAGGCCTACAGCTGCTTTTCCTGCCAGCTCGTGCGCACGCCGAGCGACGACATTCTCACCGTGGACGAGGCATCCGGCATCGCCGCCTCAATGCTGCCCACCCCTGCGCCTGCGCTGGCTGCGTCGAGAGCCGTCCACCTCCAACAGCTGGCGGCCGACGCGGAGGCGATGGCACACTATGCGGACTGTGCTGACAGTGGTGGTGGCCAACACCAGCAGCGCGTGCAGAGCATACGCCATATCGGTGACGGTGCGTTGAGCGAACGTGTGCAAGGGGACGCGATGGGGACAACAGTGGGGGCGATGCGGCAGACCAGAGGCGGGCTGATGTTTGATGGGCGCACACGTGAGGCGCGGCTTGCTGCCTCCTTTGCCGGCATGGCGAACACCGCTGCGGATGTCGAAGACACCATGCATGGCACACGCGCACACGGGGCAACAGCGACAAACAAGTCAACATCGTTATCATCATCATCGTCATCGTCATCGGCATCGTCATCAACAGCACGAGCGGCAACAGGGGTCGGCACAGCAGCAGGACGGATGAGAAGCGTGATGGAGGAAGAGCGGTTTATGATGGAGGCATTTGCGGACGAAGACATCCACGCTGCTCTTAATGACGATGATATTGACGCTGAGGAGTGGAACACCGACGACGACGACGACAACGACGACTACGGTTACGATGCTGACATCGATACCAATGACGCTGTTGGTGGCAACGGTCGCCCTCGTGGCCGTGGTGGTGCCGTTGTTGGTGGTGACGGCGATGGTGATGGTGACGCTGATGGCGATGATGATGATCATGGGCAGGAAGAGGATCTGGCGACGGCGTTTGCGTCCATGACAGTGAATGGCAGTGCCGATGGGAGCGATTGTGCTGTCAGTGGAAGCGACGCCGCCACACGTGCGAGCACTGGCCAGCAGCGGCAACGGAGAATACGACACGGCACTGCGGCCATGGACGTGTTGCTGGAGCGCCACATGCGTGTGATGCGAAGCAAGTGAACACTCTATTGTGTGTGTGTGTGTGTGTGTGTGTGTGTGTGTGTGTGTGTGTGTGTGTGTGTGTGTGTGTGTGTGTGTGTGTGTGTGTGTGTGTGTGTGTGTGTGTGTGTGTGTGTGTGTGTGTGTGTGTGCAGGGACTCGGGTTAAGACGCCAGTTTGATTTGATTGATGGCTTGCCGCTCGATTGATTACAGTGTGAGTTGATATATGATGCCTACTGTGCGCTCGGTTGTTATTGCGCTCCCTAATACTAAACGCTGTATTTGGTTACAATAATGTGGCGCAAAGGCAGAGAGAGCAGAAGCAACATTGGTTTGCTTGCAACAGAACAAGCATTTCACTCCTACGATAAGAACAAGTCAAACACATCCGTCCTCCCCCCTCCACACACACACACACACACACACACACACACACACACACACACACACACACACACACACACACACACACACACACACATTTGATATTAAGATGACGAAGGCATGCTTGGTCCCCCTCCCTGCAAATCACAAAGAGGAGATGATGATATGAGCTCGCCGCAACCAGTCAACAACAACAAAGCGAGGTGTGCCAGGTTACACGCCACACAATATGCAAGTCCAAGGAGGGTACAATGCAACACGTTGCAATGTGGCATACGGTCAAGACACCTGGTAGTTGCCGGTGACTTCGGCGTCGGTGAAGTCAAAGCCGGGATTCTGGTGATGCAGGAGATGGCATGAACGGTTGTAAGTAAGAAGGGGGAGCGAACGACCGAGACAGAGACAGGAATAAACACTGAGGCAGAAATAAACGTTCAGAGACACACACAGACAGACACACGCACACACACACACACACACACAAGCACAAGCACGATGTTGATTTGACGCAAGCTGCCGGCAAACCTCTCGTTGAAAGCGCTCGAGGGTGAGCTGCTTCTGGACCTGGTCGAATACAAGTGGATCCAGCTCATACTGTCGCACACACATCACGCACACTTGAGTTGTGACGATGCAAACGTCCGAAGCATGGCGCAAGCGAGAAAGTTCTCACGGACATCGAGACGTGTGTCACATGAACATACCTGGTCCTTGAGAAGCGAGGACCATGCACCTGATGCGTCTCTGTGACTCTTGATCAGGAGGATATGCAGCTCTGCTCCGTCGTTCTCTGCGTGGATGTGAGAGCATGAGACACCGGGATCACATTTTTTGTTGTTCGAGAAGAGACAAGCTCACGGCCGTCGTCACGCGCGCGTGTTCGAATGCGAATGCACGCAGTTCGACTTTGCCTCACCAATGGTCCATGTGCTCTCGTCCACGATGACGCTGTGCAGCAGCTCGCCCTGACCAAATCGAAAAGAAACGCGAGCATGAGGCCAACAGTGCGGCTAGAGCGAGGTGCAACTGTGTTGGGAACACAGCGAAGCTGTGGAAACACAGGAGCGCGGCAATACAG